CAACTGTCTATTTGGAAAGGAATAGTGTTTTTGCAAAGTGTTCCCACAGATCATTAATGTATTCTGCTTTGGAGTGGGGATGAAATTCTAATGCCGAATTTCTGCCTAATTGAATTGCAGGTGCTGGCTAACCATAATCCTAACTCATGTGCAGTTCTCTGTAGTGTTCCTAAGTCCTTTTCTGAAGAATTTATATCCAAAATAACATTGTCCATTTTGTATGGATAATATATTAGGAGACTTAATCCTTCAGAAATATAGTCTTGCATACAACTGTATTAAAATGTGTCTTGCATAAGTGAGTCTCATTTCCCATGTAATCTGGAATGCTCTGTAGGATTTCCCTGCATTGATTGCTACTTCACTAAATTTTGTGTCAAAAAAACATTACCAGTAATGATTTTGTTCTTTGGTTGTATTTACTGATACAGACTGTATTTATGGACCGAAGACAGATTCTGATAAGATGCTGTTAAAAATGTCCCCCATGATTTTCCATTTTCTTTGGTTGGACAACCAGATGAGCAGTTTAATACTGAGGGCAGGAAAAGACACCAAGATATAGCCCTGTAGTGTGATTCTCAGCTCATCCTGCAGTCTCTTTGGAGTATGGTTATAATTGAAATTCCTCTTCATTCTCTCTTCCTGTTGGGCATTATGTGTCTTGAGTGTGTGTGCAGTGGGGGAGGTTATTGAATGATCTTGTGCTACACTGCAGTGTTGTATCTGTAATTCACACACACTGGATTTCTCGTCAGGCAGGGGAGGCTGAGTCACTAGCTGCTGCTCTTTTCTGATAGATCGGATTCTTCTAGACTGCTTGCTTGCAATTATTTTTTTTTTCTTTAGAGTTTTAGTATGTCAAAGAGAGTTCTTTGACATACAAACATAAAAATCATTCTAGTGAAAGCCATAAAGGATAGCTCTCTGAGCTCCCCTAGCTAATGCTAAGAAGGATTAATTATGCTTTTCAATGTTCTAAAAAAAGCAGGAAATTAGGCTTTTCAAACTATGTGTCTAAATCACCATAATAAGAATGATATTTAAATATTTAAATATTTTTGGTGCACGATTATAGTTTCTGGTGGTTTCACAGAACACAATGCAAGTGGCTTGAATGGCAAAATTCTCATTACCTTACATGAGGTGGAGGAATTAGATTTTGACATGTGCCTTTTAACTCAGTTCCTGTGAAAATGAATTAAAAAAATAGTGTTCATTTTAATTTAAGATATTGGGCATAATTTAGGTGAATAAAAGGTCAGTAAAAATGTTATTTGTAAATATTTTACACTCTAAATTAACCAATAGTAGTAAATGCCAGATACTTAGATTAGCTGTCCGTGAAGAAGAGAGAAACTAGCAGGGCTGAAATAAAAGTGTGTGCGTTTGTGGTCCTGTACCAGGCACAGGTACAGGAGGCCTAGAGAAGGTGGGCCTTGCTTTTAGATGCTTCTGCAGGTCAAGTATTTGAAGGACATATGCCTTACTGCATTGAAAAACACAAGCTAGCAGTAGTTGAGAGAAAATAGATGCCGCACTGTGTCCAGGGATAATGAAGGGTTTGTTTCACTGTTGACATAACAGAACCTAAAGAGGAGTTGGGTTTTAGTGTCTAATGTCATTTCCAGTTAAGTTCACAGGAAAACTAGACCATTTTTGGAAGGAATCGGCTTGAATTTTGCATCATTTAGAATTCAGTCTGTGGATATCCTTGTCTACATGTTTTCTTTCACATTGCTTCCATCAAAATATCCAGAATTAACTTGTAAATGGTTGCTTAGGCACTGCAGCAGTAATTGTTTTCTCTTAATCTTCCTTTTCAAATATCATTTCATTTAGGTTGCAAAAGATGTATCAGTGAGACTTCACCATGAGTTAGAAAACGTGGAAGAAAAACGTACTGTAACAGAAGATGAAAATGAAAAATTAAGGCAGCAGCTTATAGAAGTTGAAATTGCCAAACAAGCACTACAGAATGAACTGGAAAAGATGAAAGAGGTTAGTTGCTCTTTATTTGTTCACAAAGTATCTCTAGTTCTCAAACTCTTATTGCTGAACTAACTGGTTTTCTTCCTATAACTCGTTTTCAGGGCACAAAATATGACAGGCAAAATTTGAAAGTTGCAAAGAGTACTGAAGTACAGTTTGGTGATTGGGAAGCTGAGAACAAATTAAAATATTTGATGTTTCCTAGGTGAAACAGAAACCAAAGTGAGGCTTTGTATTTCTCATACAAGGAGCGAAATGTGGAACTGATGGTAACAGAGTTCAGAGGCTTCGAGACATTGTACTTATGTTAAGATACAGGAAAAGTGCTGAACAGAGTCAGAGGCATCTAACTCTGCAGATGATGTTTCTCGCATGATTTTACAAAGACCAGTATTTTTTCCTTTGTTAAGTACCAGTAGGGAGTAGCAGGCACACTGAACCTGGGGATCTCGCCACCTCCCCATCTTGTTCAGTCATGTTCTTTGGGATATTGGGAAGCGAGAGACTACCTGGCCTTTCAGTCTAAGCATAATTTTATGTTATATCTAATTTATCTTCAAAATTACTCAATTCGCCATTATACAGATGCAAGATACTGTGCCATTAAGTAAGCAGAAAATTGTATTACAGCAGTAATAGTCTGATAGAGATAACAAAGCCTGCAGTAAAAAGGGAAATTGTTGACTAAGAATGACTTCTCAGAACAGATTTTAGAAACAGCTCTCCAGTTCAGTGTTTAAAATTCAATGAGGGCCACTGATTTTTACTTTTAGTAATTTTCCCTAGCAAGAATGCCAATGTCTACTTTGATCTTGTACGAAGTAAAACAGATGTATTTCAGTTGTTAAGAAAGGCAGGAAATTATGATAAGTTATAGTATTATTAGGAACTGCAAGTGCTTACTTTAAGTGATGTATAATTAAAAATATTCATATGTTTTCTTTAGAGGAACTGAATTTCAAGCATGTTAGTAGAGGATAAACAGGTGGTTTTTTTCCACCTTCTACTGCTTTTCCAGATAACTTCAGACTTGAAAAGGGCATGAAATCTGAGCTTTATTCAGGTTTCCTCTCCTCTGCCTGAGACTTTCTTCTGTTTTCACTCTGGTTTCTGCCATCAAATACAACTCAGTTTCCAGGACCATATTCTTTATAAGAGAATGGTCTTTCTGTAATTATACTTACAAGTTGTTGTTAAGCTTTGCTTTACTCCAAATTTTCCATCCTTCTAGTCCATTCAGACTCTACTTTCTTGTAGATTCCCATTTCTGGATCCTTTCTTCCTGTTCTGTGATAGGTTGTATCACAGTAAGCTGCTTCTGCCTTGCTTCTTCTTATGCATCTTTGGATTATGCTGAAGTGTAGTGGCAATTTAATAGCTTACACTTTTTGGGAGCTATGTACCCACAGGAAATTAACCCAATAAATGGGCCTCTTAGCCTCTGTCATCAGCAGTCACTTTCTCCTTACCCTGATTCTTCCCTCTGGCCCACTGTGCTGAGCTATGGTTCTGCTGCTCTCATACTGCTCTCCACTTCTTTCTTCAGCTTAGGTGTTTGCCCCTTTCTGTCTTTGCTGTTGGTACCTTGAAATACTTGGATACTTGAGACTCCAGAAGAAGGGAAAGTGTCATGTTTAAGCTAGGGGGTCTTCTACACAATGCTATTTTGATGAAGCTGAAACAGATGGATGATTCCCATTGGCACAGAATGAGGACCCTGAGACAGAATAGAAAAATACAGTAAGACTTTACACCCACAGTAAGAGCAGGGGTGGAGTGGACAGAGGGTCAGAAATACATCCTTATACTGAACTGGAGGGGGGAACTGCCATGCCCAGTCATTATATTCATCATTATAACTAGGTGGGAGTTTTCATTTATGTATTTCAAACAGGCTACTGAATCCCTTTCAGTAGGAGACAGCTGCTTTTCAGGCTAGGACTTTCAGCATAGCATGGGGGAAGTTGGAGGATGGTTGAGGAGGCACAAGTCAGAAAAAAGCAAGTTTGAAGTAAAGCCAAATTATTATGCACTTTGCAAGCATGCCATGACCTGGGAGAACCAGTGGAAGGATGCTGGTGAAGAATACTGACTCTTACAGCTTTAAATTTAGACTCTGTGAAGAAGCTATGAAAATGTTAACATGAAACAACCATGAAAACCACCCAAAGCAGTTTGAAGTGCATTAGAATTTTTCTGTGACAAATACCTTTTCTTCTTCTCTGGCAATTGGAGGTTTCATGCATCTTAAATCCCATTGTAAGATAGTCATAATGTTAATTTTCTGCTTGCTTATGAGTTATTTCCTCCAGTTTCATGGGTTTATAGCCATTATAACCAATGCAACCTCCAACTTAAGAAGTTCTGCTCAGTGTAAATAGGAAGAGTGCAATCAAGACCTTTTGTCTGGATTGTGATCTTTGCTTTAGTGAGCTTAGAATTAATGGGAGAGTTAATCACCAGAGACAATGAAGCATTTTTATTTTACAGCATAATAACAGTGCTCAGAGTATGTAATAACTGATTTCTGTACTTTCATGTCATCAAATGTATTGCAAAAACACAAACCTTCCCATTCTTCTTAAAATCTCTTTATGTATAACTGCCATGGGAAATTTGTTCTCCTTTTATAATGAACAGTGTTAGACAGCAGAGAATGGGTAAAAGACTTAATATAAAATGTTGGCAGTAGAATTATAATTTTTTGTTAGGTAGTCTCTAGAGCAGGACCAAAGCTGAAGTTCTCTCTGTGTAGGTTCTATATTGTTTTAAAAAACATGGTAGGCTTGACTGGAAACATGTATAAAAAGAAATGCTAGCAGGAGTGTTTGCATAGAGACAAATCTAGAGCTCTTCAGTGAACATTTGGGTGAATATAGGCTTGTTAATGTGTTTGTCCATTAAAATAGAGAGATAGTTTCTGTTTATTTTCTTGGTTTGGAGCTTTTGAAGAAAGCAATTTTGATATATTCCATGACAAATGGAAGTTGTTGTTGATGGCAGCAGAAGTTTGCAAGCATCCAGATTTGGAAGGTGTTCAGCAAAGCATACATTTTCTATCAGTTACTTTCAGTCCTTCAATCTGCAGCTTTTTCATTTAGTCATATTGCTGCATATGTCCACCTAGAAACACAAAAATTTTAATCCGCATTGTCAGTTCTCAGAATTTATTTTTAGCAACTGCTGCTGTTTCCCATTATTTGTTATACTTAATTGTAATGCTTTTTGGGAAGCTGAAAACAAACTCAAGAAATAGTTTCCTAGAAGAAAGAGAAGCCAACTATAGCTAGATGTAATTTTTTCAGATATTAAAAAAATGTTAATGAGTTGCTAATTAATTAATGTTCATTAAGTCCATGGTAACCATTTGTTAAAGCCTAGCTAACTCTTGCACAGCTTTTGATGATAATAGCATATACTAAGGATTCATTAATTTGCTGTAGCTATGTAGGAAATGCCCAGTCACTCATACTTTAGATGGTTCATTGTGAGACAGATGAAGTAGGGGGAAAATATGATGGATGTACTGGACCCTGGGCTTTACAAATCCTCAATGCCATGCAGATATGTAATTGCAAGAGGCACAGTGTTTTTCAGAGTTATGTCTCTCTGGATAAAAATATCTGCTAGTGCTCCAAGCTGGGCAGATATAAGACAGTTCAGTTCTTACAGCCACATTAGAGTGATGTTGTCAAGCTACTATTTTCTTGTTTTAAGCATAGATTATTAGCTCAGATACAGAGCTTGTGATAACCATGGCTACATGGCATGTGAACCAAGTGTCTTCTGTCTTGTCAGTTCAGACTGACAGAACAGTTCAGAGGAGTTAATGCTTCCCTACATGGGTCTGTGTTTTGCTGGAGTGGTGCCCGTCTTGCCAGTCAGTCTGTTTTGTGCGCTGCATAGAAATGGGAGAAGGCAGCAGGGTCTGGGGAACCAGCAGGGTGCTGGAGCTGGGATGAGGAATCTGAATTCTGATTTTGATCCTAAGCTGCTGTGGGACCACAGGAAAGTAATTACACCTTTCTGCTTAGTCTTGCAATGTTTGCCTGCCCTGTTTATGCACAGATTAGCTCTCCATACATCAATGAGTGCTCAGGCTGCACAGAGATCAGGAGGGTAGCTGGAAATTTCACAACAAAAGCTGCTGCTGAAAAAAACCCCCAAACAAACACAAAAAGAAAAAAACCCCACCCCCCTCACCTTAAAAATGGAGAGCTGTGAAAAGAACTGGTAAGGGATGATCCTGTTCCAGTGCCCTTGATCACCAATATAATCTTGTACACTATGTCTCCGATAAAAATCTAGTGTCTTTCCTTTCTTGGAGCCCTTCCTACCTCTAAGTCTGCTGTTTAAACACAACCACTTATTTCCAGTCTCTCCTATAAGTCACAAAATCTCAGGTTCTTCAGGTTCTCTCTCTCTGTCTTGATCCTGTGTTTTGTTTTTCTTTTTTGGACTGTCTTGTAGTAGTGGCTGTTTTGCTGTCTTTTGGTTCTTAAATCCCAGTCTTGTCCTCTTCCCTCCCATTCCCTCCTGGCATACCTCCTTCCAACTCTTCATGAGTGTCCAGTCTCCTCTCTGGATTTCAAGTCTTTTCCAGTTAATTTTCTTCTTATTCTACTTCAAGAATATTATCTCCATTTCTTAGTTACAGCTTCTTTATGCTTCCAAATTTGTCCTTTTCCCTGATTCTTCCACCCCCTCATACAAACCTGTCAGCTTCCTTGGTTTGTTCTGTTCCTTTCCTTGTTTCCAAGCCTTAGCTCTTCACTTTTGCATCTGGACTGAGAGCAGTGAGGGATCACTCACTGTACTAGGAAACAGTAACCATCTCACTGTGAGCAATAGAAGAAAAGGTTTCTGGTTCTAATGCCTAGCCTCAGCTTTACCTAGACCCACATGGAGCAATAATTGCAGGATTAGTTAGGCTTTGCCTTCTGGTCTGGAGTTGGAACATAATCTGTTAGCTGGAGAAAATGTGCAGATTGATAGCTGGGGTGGGAAAG